AAATCAAACAGCACAGTCTAACTAGATTCAGAAAGAATTCAGTCATGAGATGAAAATTTATTATGCTTCCCATAACACACCTCCAGCTAACAAAATACAGTACATTTCTGATAAAAACATACCTCTCTGCTTTTCAAAAGCAAATCACATTTTCCCCTCTGTTCTCTACAGACACGTATACAAATCATACATGGTTTTATTATTTCAAGAATACCTACTTGCGTAATGATTGAGAAATCGGTCCTCTCTCCCAAACATCTCAGAGGGCTTCAAAATTATAGCATCTGGAAATTCTTCCCTCACTGCTTTCTCTCCAACAGCCTATCATTCAATTAAAATGAACACATTCATTAGATCCATTCTGAACAGACCAGAAGAGGATGCCTTTTCAGAGCTTAATGTATCCTGACTACAGCACTGAAAGAAATGACACCATGAGTAGCGCAAAAATTATTTATATCTGAGCCATTTGATCTTTGAGATGCTATGCTAAGATAAAGGTCTCACAGAACATCCCAAAAGTCCCATAAACATGTAGGTCACGTCTTCTATTTGAGATACAATACAGTCTCACTAGTGAAGTTCAAAAAGAAAGAAGCCTAACCTAAGTACTTCTCTTGCTTATGTCAGACCAGAGCTTGGAAGAAAACAGAAGGTTTACATTATCAGAACACTCCAAGAACTGCTTAAGTACAGTTAGAAATTTCGGTGGCAGCTATCCACTTTCCACATGGGACTGGCCAATACAGGAAGGCCTAACTATCCTATAGAGTTGTTACACACTGAAAGCTACCAAATTTTAACCCTGGTTTTAAAAAATTTTTATACTAAAGACAAGGCAGAGTACAGCGAGCTCAAACAAAACAAAAATACCTGAAACTGGGACAATAGCTATATTAAAAAGAGAAAATCAGTAATAGAAAATTATACCTCCTAATAAGGAAAAAAAATAATAGGATACCAAAACCAGGTTGTTTTTGTTTTTGTTTTTGGTTTTTTTTTTTTTTTTCAAATGTTTGAGCTGGAGCTGGTCTCTGGACATGATTAAGCAGTATTAAAGGCACTATTAAGAGACTGAGCTCATCTTAAGCTGCACCTACTACAAACGTCTGGTTTGCAGATAACCTAAGAGCAGGTAACAATCCCAATCCAAGGGCCGGTAATAGTGATACTCATCTGTCTTTGAAGCATTCATTTTGGCATCAACTACTTACTTTGTTAGGTCATTCCAGCCTTAGATATTAGGCCTGATATCTGATCCCAAACCATCAAACTAGCTCCTCTTTCTTAATGACAGTAATTTTAGATGCGAAGATATTCAAGGATAGAAGAAAGGACAAGTTTTTAGAAATACAAGATCTATTTCCCTTCAAAGCACATGAAGTACTAAGGAGGATTTCTAGCTCCAATAAGCACAGTAACTCAAAAATTCCTCAGCTGCAGAAAACATTCCATAGTAAATTCATACACTTATTTCCTTCAAACAGACCCAGTTGGGAAAAAAAACAACAACAACAAAAAAGTAGGCTCTCAAAAAATATATTCAAAAGGATTCCAGACTTACTTTACTCCTGAGGTATTTGGAAGGACTCTTCATGCTAGCATTCAGGTGAGAGATATGAATGAGTGTTTCCACACCAGCTTCCCTAGTTATTTGTGCAATACTTGTGGGAATATTTACAAATTCATCTTCAAAACTGAAGTTTCTAAAATAAGGCAAAAAAGAAATTTTACTTTAAGAGCAATCAACAGCGGCTGCCTACCAACCAGATAGCAATCATTACGTATTACTTGAATATATTTCAAAAACCTATCTTGACACTCTTTGTTAGAAACAAAGTTTCCTTTTATGAGGGACTCTTCATATAATAAAAACTAGAGGCAAGTGAAATGCAACAGTAAGCTTCAATCACAGCTTTAGTACTTTTTAGTGCTTTTTCACCTGTTAAGATTAAACCAGTATGAGAAATTCTCTTGCCCACTTGTGTGTGACAAATAGAAAACTCTTCCCAAGTGAAAACAGATTTTTTTTTCTTTTTTTAAATGCTGCATCTTGAAATCTGAGCAAAGCTGTCTTTTTACAACACCTGTTCAAAATTTGACTTGATTTGATGCACTCAATTACACTACAAAGGAGCTCAAAAATTCTGAGCAGCCTAAGCTAGGGTCCCCAATGCTAGGCATTGGGGAAGTGGACAAAAACAGACCAAAGAACACACAGATGTTTATGCAAATGGAAAAGTTTACATTGACAGAACAGTTAGAACCATTTCATAGCAGCTGTAAGGGACTTCAAGGAGAAGCATGCAGAAAGAACAACTCCACTCACTTTATGGCATTCAAGGGGCCTAAATTAGGGGGTTCGACTGTAATCTAGTTTGGCATCTGATCAAGAACAATACGGAAGCTCTGTCTCCAAGCAGAACTGACACTATAGGCTGGCAACAATCCCAAAATTCTTTCCAACTATCCCAAGACTACAAGAAAGAGAATTGGCTTCTCATGTCTTTATATTGTCCTTGTAAGCACCCCGCTCCATCTTTTCCATTTGCTTTGGGTAACAAACATCTTGTCCAAATGCCTCTCTCTCTGTCCTTATCTACTCCCACAGCTCTTCAGATCCCACTGGAGTCTAAAGAAAGCCTTAAAAATAAAAAGTTATTTTTGACCCTTCAATAACTAATCTGATCCTGGGAACCATCACTCCTGTTCTACTCACAAAAATAGATTTTAGAAACACACAAGAACAAACAACATCCCTCCTGTAACTATGGAGTTTTCAAACAACATAGTGTACACAGATGAGACTGTACACTAATACTAGGCAAGGAGGAAAGTATTTAATGGCAGGCTTTACTTTTTTTGACTGATCTCTACTTCTAATCTTACTTTTTTTTTTTCCCCCTGCTTAAGTTTTTCATAGACTTTGGGATGATTACAATGGTTAGTCTGACCTCGTATTTAACAGACCATAGAATTTTATCTCAGGATTCCAGCACCGCCATTGATACAAACATGTATAAAATACATAATAAGAACATTTGTGCAACACAGGGGTAATAACATGTACCAAGACTCCTCTGCTTTTGAATCTGTTGAAACTGACCAAAGTGACAAGGTTTGGGCATTTTTAACTAGAATGAAACTTTTTGTTGTCCTCACACTCCCTTTCAATAACAAAGAAACCCTCCCTTATATAAATCATACTTTTTACACGAGTCCAGAAATTTTAAAGGGGGAAGTACACATGAAATACATATCTGAAAGACAAAGAGATTACATTGTCTTTGGGCCAACTGTACAGACTTTCTTTTCTTCCCTCACTCCCACATTACAAAGAAATTTCTTCTGTTTTGACAGCAATAAGCATTTGAACTCTTACATTCATAATTTAGTAACAGTACAAAACAATCTTGACAGGTTGGTTTGTACATTTTTACCTATATCCCGAAGTCTGAAGAAGATATAAAAAGAACCAAAAACCCTTGTCAGATGCACAAGACTGAAGTTACTTTAGGTTTGGTGGGCTCTTCCCCACATAAATTATGTTATAGACTCCAACAGTAGGACAAGGACCTAAGTGACTATCAGAAAAAGAAAGTACCTCTATGAATTTGAATGCAAAATCAAAGTGTCTCCCAGAAGTTATGTACAATACTTGACTAGACAAGAAACAGCTGAAATAGTGTGTCTATTGGCAAGCACCTATTTTAGGAAAAATAATTGTATAATTTGAGACTACTAATTCTATTCTATTAATACAATTTGACTACTAATTCTACAATTTGAACACCAAATGGCTGTTCACAAAAAAAGAGCAACAAAGGCATTAGGCTTGTAAACACAGATGAAACTGATATCTACATTTGTTTCTGTCTACTACGATAGCAAAATTATGTACTGTATAAAGGCAAACCACACAACTAATCAGTTTTTGCCTGGCAGCTCTGCACAAAGCTTTAATTAAAGTGGACATAACTGCGCACACACACACACACGAAAAAAAAAAAGAGGATATTACAGGTACTTTTAACCTAAAATAAACATGGGATTTTTTTAAAACAGATTTCAAAAAGGAACTATTTTTAAAAAACATTACAAAAAAATGCTTATGTAGCTAATAGTGTCTGTGCCAAAATTCTATCAAGGAATGATGTTATTAATCATAACCTTAGGGACTCTCCATTAGCTATTCCTGTTTATTAACATTTACCAGAGAATAGGAAAAGCTTGATCATAGCTTATTCTAGCAGGCTACAATTCATCACTATGCCAAAGCGACAGGACAAAAGCCCACTTCTGTAATAATGTAAATACGAGCTCACAGAAACTGGTGAGCCTCTGTCAGCTATAGGAAGGCACCCATGAAACATCTGTAAGGTGTATGAAAGCAGCACAGTGAACTCTGACAGAACAAAAGCTGTACACTAGAAAATTATAGAAAGAATGCACTTTTCAAGAGCAGATCATAACCAGGACTCTAGTTAACCATTTAAAGAAATGGAAGAACTTTTATATGCAAAATTTCAGGTTTGCCTTTTCATAGAAGCCAAGAATAATGTCAGTGTCACTGCATACTGTACACACGCTGTAAAACGTGGCTACAATGTCCAATACCTGGGACAAATCTATCTATATAGGGGCGGGGGGGAAAAAAAAAGGAAAATTACTTTGTTTCCCATTCCTTTCCAACCAGATTAATGACCACATTGCTGTGTTCCACGGCTCTTCGGATAGAGTCTTTGTCCTTACAGTCCCACTCCTGTAACCAGAGCATCAAATGGGAAAAAGATGAGATAATGTGTAAATAGCCATAATCAAAGAAAGCTCTTTCACACCATTTCCATTTAGAGGCTAAACAATAGCTGGAGTTCTGACTTTGAGAATGATTAACAGACTTCCTTGTATAGCAATGGTATTGTATTTGATCTAAAGCCAAAGCAAAAGACTTACTAAGAAGAGAAGTTGCCCCAGGTCACCCATCGGCCGCAGATACATAAGGTCATACTGATCACAGCGATAGGGTATGACTACTTGAGATCCAATGCGACCTAAGAGTTAAAAAAAAAGTTTCATTTATCTCAAACTACTACATAACTTTAAGTACATGAACTTCTGAATATACAACACTTCCTTTTTTCCCTAGCATTAAAGCACAACAAATACACATAGATATCTTGAATAGTTATCTGCAAAGCTAAAAGTAGAATAGAAGTAAGTTTTTGAACCTACATCATTGGAATTCTTAAGCAGGGACATATTTGAGTATTTGGGCTTGTGAGACAAAATACAGAAGCTTGCAAGAAGCTTGTTAACAAACAACAAAAAAAATCACAGCGTGCGCTATAAACATGGTATACTACCTAAAATGTGTCACATCTAAGGATATTTGCTTTTTTTAAGTTGCATGGAAAGCAGAAGGAAAAAAAAGCAAGAGTTATTTTCTAAAACTTAAATTCAAACGGGCAATTTTAAAGAATTCCAATCAAATTCCTGCAAACATTTCAGTAAAATTTCCTAATAAGGCCAAAACCAGAATAATCAAATACGTGCTGTACCTTTCCTCAGATCTGCATTTTACAGACTGAAAAACAGTACTTGAAGGAGACTTATTTTAATGACTTTAACAATCTTCAAAAGCTTCTAAATTTCCTAGATTAAACCAGTTTTCACCGTCACATCTTGGCACTTTAGCAGGCCAAACACTATGAAAGTCTCACACAAAACACGTTTAAGATCCAAAATGCCAGAGACTTCTAAATTATCCTGCAACCTGAAGAAAAACTACAGTTTTGTTAAACACTTAATTTTTTTTAATTAGTGCTGCTGTGGAACATTACCTAAACGGTTGACAACATATCGTCCTAGGAAACCTGTAGCCCCAAAGACAGTGGCCACAATGCCACTAACAGAGGATCGTCCACTTCTTCCATGAGGGATCACCGCATGATGAACTTGGCGGTGCTGCTGCAACACAGATGGTGCTGCAGCTAACACAGAAATGCCAGGGCCTACAACAGAAAACGGGAGAGAGCATGTGATATAAGCTAAAAGTTAGCAGTCTCAAACCATAGTTAATGGGGTTTTTTTCTCATTACAGATCCATTTTCTCTAATCTCCCTCAGCAAAATGTCCCATGTCAAGACTCCTGACAGGCTATTTCAGAGACATCTGGACAGGTCAGAGAACAGCAGGCTTGAGGGAGCTGTTGATGAAAGTCAAAGACCAAACTAAGACACGAAAGAAGCAGACTAAGGTTATCGGTTCCTAAACAGCAAGTAAACTTTAACTGGCTAGCATTAGTACTTGATGTATAAGGTGAAGCACAGAGGTTAAGCAAATAAAGAATACTTGCTACAGGCAGGTCCCACCTGAGTACATCCACATCCTGCTCCCAGATCTGGGGACTGCAGGACAAAGACCTCAGAATCACTCTAGATGCATTTAACCAGACTCTTTACATCAGTCTAAATATAGCAGACCCAAATGCTGGAAGAGGCAGCAATCCTCCTATATCATAGCTCTGGAGTGAAGGGAAATGAAGAAATGCAAAGAGCCAGATCCACAATGCACAGAATATTGCCTCAAAGCTGTTCCTTTTCTCAAGGAGCTATGAAAACTTGAAAGTCACGGAAATAGGACATCACTAGGATATTGACATAAATTGACAAGGTAGCTCCAATAGGGGAGTTTGAAAAGAAGAAACATATGTCCTCTCCAACCAAGTTAGCCAAAAGCAAGAAAAAAAACGGTCGTAAGAGAGTTTTGAAATTAGAAGTGTTTAGTGCTACTACATGTCCATGCTCATGAAAAGAAAGGAACAGATGAAATACAGAGTGCACGAACACACTACAGACATCTGGCTGTTGACAAGAGCAGACCATAAGAGCTGTCATTGGAAAACTAGCTTGAGGATATAACAGAAATCCAGTAACTGACCTTCCAACTTTTAGTAAGTCATGGCCATAAGCATTTTCTGAATAAGAATAAGCAAGTTTAATCTTCCCCATATAAATCTAAGTGGCACGAATCATAATGAAAACAAGATTAGTATTTGATATCAGAATGACAGATGCATTAGGAAACAACAAAAAAAAAATCCCACTTGTACACTGAAGGAGTACATTTTATCCAGATATGATTAGGTATTACCACTTACACAGCGGCACTGACATTGTAGCCATGTTGTTAAGAAGATCAAAAGGACAGGGTATGTTTGGACATAAATTATATTTTGTTAGATTAGCTGACAGAATTCAAACCAGAAAATCCAGCAAGATTTCAGTGCCTGAAGGAGGCATTTCTTTACCCAAAAGTTTGTCTATCCCTCCTCTCTCCATACCCCACAAATTGGAATAATAAAAGATACCACATCTCCAATTTTGTCCTGAAAGGTCGCTTGACACCCACTTAACTAAATAAAGCAATCATACATATACACTTGTACTTATCAAATTAATACACTATGCCTAGAAACTATACTCCAATTGGTGATAGAAACAGGACAAAATAAGATATTACCTACGCAAACTTCAAGTAGGTATAAGACTTCCTAAAAAGCAACTCTCCTACAAAATAGGTCCAAGCTCAGGAACAGTTAAACTGGGCACAGTATCTTGTCTTAAAGTGGCAGATATGCAGGGCCTCTCCATTACTGAAGCAGAGACCTTGAGACTAACTATGAGAAAGAAGGAAAATACATGCTATGATAAGCACCCATTAAAAAAAAAAAAACAACACAAAAACCCCAAACAAAAACACACACGCAAAAAAAAAAAAAAAAAAAATCACACTGTTTGCCAAAGATCTGCTGGAGTTTAATAGAAGTACACACTCCTGTGGCATCCAATTAATGTCTAAAGACCCGATATGCAGTTTTAAAAGTGACACAATAGGTTCATATTAAACTTTATAATACCTCAAACTGAAATTTTAAGGAACGTGCCAACTCATCATTGCCATATTCACCACTTAACTTCACTCTCTGCTTTTTCTATCATCCAGTTAATTCAACATTGCCCTCTAAAATCTTTGTGTATACTTCTGCAGAATTACAGTGAAGGTGAAGACAACCATTTCAATGGATTTCCAATACAGCACATCTTACAACACATTACCACGCTATCCTTACAATGTTATCTGACACAGACTACACAAACATACAGCCCATACCCTAGGTTTTTACGTTCAAAACTCTTGGAGAGGGGGGTTGGTTTTTTTTCTTTATTCTTTTAAACGACAACAACGGAACAAACTTGCAAATGAAATCAGTAGTGTATGCTGAATATTCTGTATAGAAAAAAGCCTGTAGCTATGTAATCGGTAGCTGGAAAGTGGACATTAACCAAGCTCATTACAAATTTAAGCGTAAAGGATAACACTGAGGGAGACAGTTGGATGATCTTCTTACCTTCATTCTTGTAGTGTTCTAATAACTAGGGTTTTGTTATTTAATTTATTTTTTAGGAAAAGCAGACTCACAGAAAAATGACTGGGCTCTTTATAACCAACAGGATTCCTTCAAGTATGCAAAAAAGCTACATGGTATGCTGAGATGGTGAAAGAGAAAGCTTGATGGCCCATATTCCTCAGTGCTTTGTTTACATACACTTCTCTTTCTAAAGGTTTGTAAAAAAAAAGAAAAAATTACACAATATTCATATTTATAGATTTTCTAAAGGTTTGTAAAAAAAAAAAAATTACACAATATTCATATTTATAGAATTAACACTATCTCTGTCACTTTTAGATAGGAACACGTTTCAGTCCTTACAATATAAAACCTAAAAGCAACAAGATTTCAGTTCTCTGTGAGCACCTGTTGAAAAAAGTATTATTAAACAGATCAACCCATGTAAGAATGACAAGAAAATTAATCTGAAAAAAAATTATACACGTCTCTCAACTACTTTGTGGCTTTTTTGCTGTTATTTCTGCAAAAATTATTGGTGACAAGCTCTTCATGATGCTATCACTGTCACACTAACAAAGAACATCCAATTACTGTTTTGTATTCTCCCATCTTTGTGTGTACACCTGTTGTTGCTTGCCTTACACTGTAAGGTCTTTAGTGGTGTGCATCTTTTCTTGTCCCACAACTGTACAAGATGTGTCACAAATTATCACCATCTATGGTTATATGCCCAATTACTACTACATTATAAAAAAAAGTTGAGACTTAAGTGTATCCATGAGACTCAAAGAAAGCAGGCTAAAGATCCTCACACTGATTCACAACGAATAAAGGGCCTTCCACATGGTGTGGAGCCCTATCAAAATGCAACATTTAGTAACTCAGGACAACGTAACTTAATAGAGCCATACAGCTTTCACAGCCCACGTTAACATCTCCAGACTGAGCAGCACTGCTTAAAGCTCTGTGCTCCTGTATAACACAGGCATGCACAGGGATTCTTTCCCAGAACAGCAGAATTTCATCTTTTTCACTAACCAGAATCCATTTGTGACTGGAAGTTTACTTTCACAATTCATATTTGAAGCAGTTTATGAACACAGGTTTGAATTAAATCTCAAATATTCACAGTAAACCAGAACTATCTTTTTCTTGAAAAGACACATCGCTCCAATTAAAAGTATGTTAAATTCCTTCCTGGCCTTTACCAACCAACAAAACCTGTTTGCCATCTTCCACTTTACTCAACAGAGGAGCATGTGCAGAATCAATTTGATTAAAAATCGGTTCTGTTTTGGCGGCAAAGGCCCAAATAAAAGCTTTAAATATAATTTTGGTACTCGAGCATGCTTACAGACCACGGCCAAAATACCAAGGTCACCTAAGAAATCGTAAAAGGAACCCAAACTTTTAGCCTACAGGGCAGCATTTCATTTGCTGAGATTTTGACAGTCCCAGCGAGACAACCTACTGTACAGCTACACCGGTAGGCCGATCCAATCCCATGCAGCCCTTTGGGCTAAAAACCCCAGTTCCCTAAAGAGAAGGAAGGCAGAAACCCGACCGTTTCTGCCGCGAACAGTTATTTTAGCTGCTTTTCAGACGCTGCCCTGTGAGCTCCCTCACCCAGCTCTACTCCGAGGGCGCCGCGGTGAAAGAAGGCAGGCCCGCGGGCAGGCGGCTGGCATAGCACCGTACAGGCTCGGGCAGAGAGCGCAAGGGCAGCCGGGCTCCCCGCGGCGAGAGGCGGCGCCCCGGCACCAGCCGC